AAATTGTAATCTTACTCAGATCAGAGAAATTGCTTAGAGTTGCAGAAGCCTCACAGGTCCAGGCTCACATCTTGTGAAGTGGCCTCGAGTCACAGTTAAAGAAGCATTCTATACAACTCCAGTATGCCACATAATCACATCATTACATCATGCATGTTTATAAAAGAGCACACATTCCTCGCTCCAGCCGTATCACAACATTGCAGAGTGTGATAAAAACAAAGAGAACTCGCTGTTCAGAATGTTCCACTATATCCAGGCCCTAAATTCATTCTCAAATCTCTGTTATGTACATAATGAAGATGATAACTGTATATCCTTACAGAGAAACTAGTTGGGAAACATTAGTTCTTACATGCAACAGGCAGGTATTACTAGGGTTTAACAGACTCATGCATCATCAACAAGAATAATCCTAACAGAATGGTGCAAAAGTATAAATTCATTCACATTGATCCATAAAGTCTTACCTTCATGGTGTTGGGCAGTTCAACATAGGAAACGTTGCTTCATTTGAGTGTTTTCATCTAAATTATCCCAGAAAATGTCTACTTGTCTGGCCTTTTTTCCAGGATCTATGAGGGACTTACTAACTGCACCTACCAGGTAGCCTTGAGGATGGACTGCTTCTGGCCCAACCAGGTGGTGGACGCCTTCTTCATGAAGATTCACCGCATGTACTTTCAGCACTGTGCTTTGACCGGCCGGCTCCTGCAGGAGCCACCCATCAGCATCCTTGTCCCCTTTATAGGCGTTTCCGTGATGATCACACTGTTGATGACTGCGGTAGTGGTGTGGAGGAGCAAACGCACACAGGGGATGCTGTAAAGATGACAAGGGTCCTCAGGACTTGGAGATGGATAACATCAAGTCAGCCATGTTGAAAAGGCAGCTTCATATACTGTCAAGAATTTGCATATCACAAGAACCACCTTTATTGAATTTAAACTACATCAGATTCAACAACTGAGAGTATGTCAAATTAAGTGCAAGACGCTTAAAGCTAAAAGATATTAGTATATAAAATAAGAGTTTGAGGAAAATGTTTAGTGTAGACAATACAATGCATGTACATAGCTAATGATTTTCTGAGATGTACCAAATGTTTCTTCTCTGGACTTGTAGTCTGCCTAGAATATTAGAAGGAGTAATTTCGAATGTTTAAGTAACTTTATGTGTTGGACAGATGTGGTAGGTGCTCCCACCATCCTGACTGAGAAGCAACTCAGCTGATCATGTAAGGATGCTTCACTGTTGGTACACTCACCTGTTCTTCACTGGACAAATTATTTTTTACGTTCCTCAGACAATCAAAAGGACAAATACTAATAAACATAATTTTACTTTATGCAGACTCAGGCTGTCTATCACCAAAGGATCCTTTCTGCTCTGTTTGTAATGTTCTGGTACTCAAGATACAAAACCGGAGCTGTTTTTGTAGCACCTGAGTGTGAAATTCCTTGCTGCTTTTAAATGCATTCAGTGCTGCCAACTGTGACCCTATGCATCAAAGACAAGAATAAGAAAGGAAATATATATATATTTTTGAGAAAATACATAGATTTTTTTTCCTGTCTGGTCAAAAGAGTGAAAAAATAAAAATAAAAAATTCTGTTACCTTTTTGTTTGATTGAATGAGTTTCCCTCAATATTGTGACAGTAAAATTAGCTAAAAAGGGTAGGTGCAACAGAACAGTCTAGAGCAGGGGTCTTCAACGTTTTCCAGGCCAAGGACCCCCAAATTGATGACAAGATGGAGCGGGGACCCCCTAATTATATACATTGAATGAAATAGTGTTATATCAACCGGACCTATAGTCACTCTATTACAGATGGAGTAATGTAATGAAAGTAATTTCTCCCTGGGATTATTAAAGTATTTCTGATTCTGATTCCTGGTTGATGGGGCAGGTGTTGTGAATGAAACGGTGCCCAGCTTGAGAGAGCTCCTGTGTGTCGCTGAATGTGTCTATTGATGACTGAAAGACATCTTCTGCCTCCATTTATCTGTTTACTACAGTGTGTTGAATTCATGTTAATGTGGATTTTAAGACATTTCAATTCAGGAGGGAATATATAAAAAAAAAAAATGAATCAACCAAAAGTTTTGCGACCCCCATGCAGTACCTCCGCGGACCCCCTAGGGGTCACGGACCCCCTGTTGAAGACCTCTGGTCTAGAGACCTATTATTGGCTAGTTTCCTGGTGAGCTTTTCTTGAAATGGAGCAACTTAGGTTTTTGTTATTCTTACAACAATGGTTTTAAAAAATGTCTCCCATTAGTTTAATCTGGGCTGCTCAGTGGCGCAGTGGGTACTACTGCTGTTCTCCCTGAGCATGCGTGGGTTCTCTCCGGGTACTCCGGCTTCCTCCCACAGTCCAAAAACATGACTGTTAGGTTAATTGGCTTCTCTAAATTCCCCTTAGGTGTGAGTGTGTGCATGAGTGGTTGTTTGTCTCTGTGTTGCCCTGCGATGGACTGGCAACCTGTCCAGGGTGTACCCTGCCCGTAGACAGCTGGAGATAGGCACCCCTTGTGACCCCACTCATGACAAGCGTGTCAGATAATGGATGGATGGTTTAATCTTGGTGTCACCTCCCTCAACATTTAGGGCTCGATCCCAATACCTCATATTTTAGCTCCTGCCTCTTTCTCCTTTTCTAGCCTCTAGCTCTTCACCTTTCTCAGGTCAACAGTAAGAACAGTACCCAGGTTCAGAAGTATTGTGCTTTCTTGTCCTCACTCCTTCCTAAATGTTTTAAAGTGTCCTCACCTGGGAAGTTTGACTTCATGTTGGTGTTAGGCTTCAGTTAAAACCTGCCAGAAAATCAGGAATAAGAGTAGCTTGGTCTTTTTTTGTGGTATTGTTGCTCAGACAACAAAATTGGTCCTGTGGGGTGCGATTTTGGACCTCCTCCGACAAAGCATTAACCATGGGCTGTCAACTCTCACCCATTCGGGATGAGACTCACGCATCTCAGTATCTTCACACGCTCTCACTCCATATCCCCAAATTTTTACACTAGAAAATTATGGGCATTAAAAATCAACCCCATTACACTTATTCATATAAAAAATACCATGCTGATAAAAATCCAGTCAGTATTTTCAACACAACCTCAGTGCTAACACACAAAGACATGCCAGGTTCATATCCAGTCCATATTTTTGCATCAGCTCACCTGACAGCAGCGGAGTGGTTTCTGAGTGGTTATTACGAGGTATGTAATTTGAATTTTATCTTATTTTATCTGGATTAAGATAATTAACTTTGTAAATTAATGAAGATTTGAAGCAAAATTGTACTTGAGTAAATATGAAGAAAATATCAACTAGCTTAGATTATCAATGTGGAGTGTAGGATCATATCAATCATATCTTTTGTTCTCTATACCCATTTCTGTTTTTATTTAGCTTTACTCCTTGTTTGCTCTAGTTTAGCAACCTGATTTAGTCCCAGTTTTAGTCCATGTTTTGCTCATAAGTTTAATAATTATTGCTCAGTCTAGTTTAATAATCTCCCATTGGAATTTAAAACAGATTAAACCAACTGACTAAACAAATCTCTAAATTCTTAAAGCTTTCAGGTATGCCTCACAAACCCTGTAGGAGGTCCACAAAAAGGAAAAAGAACCATTGCATTTTATTTTTAAAAAGATCAGAGAAAAGAGTACTACATACAGTAAGACCCAGAGAGGATGTGCAGAACAACGTAGTTCTCCAAGACTGATAAAGGAGGAGCCAGAGGGGTGTTCTCATTTTATTGTTTCTTATCTTATTCATTTATCCTTATTATCAACCACTTAATATGTTTAAAAACTCAATTTTCAGCCAACTGAAACATCCAGAGAAGTGCTTTCTTTTGAATGGAACGTTTTTATAGACTCTACAGCCCCCTGGAAGGTCTGAATTGTTTAGCTGTTTTGTCAATTGTAAAAAAAACTAAGATAATGACTTAGCTTCCTTAGCTTATTACCAAATATTCATACATACTGTAATTTGCATGGGATTTAATTTTAGTGGTTCCTGTTTTAGTGCCCGTAATCAAGTAATAATTTATTAGATTACCATTGGTTATTTTACTTGAACTGTACAGAATAATTAATGGACAAAGTTGTAAAATTCTATATATTTAAGATGGAAGTATTTTAGTAGGGCCTATTCTTCTTTACTTTACTTCTCTGAAAATTACCAAAATATAGGACATAATGTATATTGTGTAAAGTTTTTTTCCGATACGGATAACTTATTGTCATTCAGTAACATTTACTGTGCTATAAAAAAAATTGCAGCTTTGTTCCTGTTAAATCCTCTGAAAACCTACAACCTATAGCTGCACCTATCCTCATCTAACCCTGACAAGGGTTGCCTCTCCAAACTATTTCAAAATTTCACTCCGAGGTTTGGTAAAATGTTGGCGGCCCTGTTACCCAGTCTTGCTATGACCGTTCCGGTCTCTGTTTCACTAAAAGGGGGGAATACCAACAATCAGGGATTCACATCAGGGCAGTCAGAATAGATATTGCTTTTGTGTAATAGACCAGGAAACAATGGTAAACAAACAAGCTACATCCACATTAACAGGAATACGCACAAGTCAAATTCTATCCTCTCTAAATAATAAAGGGGTGTGGAAAGGGGTCTGAATGAGCTCTACCTATTGTTTTTTCTCCTAAAAATCATAAAACATAAATTTGAAGGATTGCATAAGTAAAATACCACATTATGACTCCTTTAAAACTTCTATTGTGTAGTTTACAACATTTTGATGTCCTGTATTTACCAATTAAGCATCAACTGGTAAAAAGTTACTGTTTTACAACCATAAAAGAAAGAAAACTTTAATGTTTCAAAGTCCATAATAGAATGTAGTGCAATAGTGACAAATTAAACTTTGACACACTTTTATATTGCAGTGTTTGATGTTTTGTGTGTCACAAAATAAACCAAATAAATTAAAGCCCTTAGCAGAGTGAAAGGAGAAAAAAACAACAAAATGGAAAATACGCCAGCCTTGACTTTTAATGAATTACTCAATGTGAAACGTTAACAAGAACATTTAAATGCGCTCCAAAGGCCGTTATGAAAATATGTCAGGCAATTAAATCTCACTATTACTGGCTGTAGGAGGCCTTAAGGAAAGTGGACGATCCTTTTCTGTCCATCTTAATTGCAGTGAATGAATGAGGTGTGCGTTAAGATTTGTGTTTAAGGGCATCGAGGTTCAGTCAGATGAAGGTTTGCAAGCCAGCATGTAAAAGTAGTTTATTATCACCGTCACTTCTGTGTCGGGAGAGGATGCATTCATGGCACTCAGCAGTCTGAAATAAATACAAAAGGAAACTGGTTACAACTGATTTGAAAAAAAAGGACCTAAATGATAAAATAATGGAGATGGAAGGAGACAGTGCCTGGAACTTTGTGTAAATGTTAACCCGCCGTTAAAGTAATTAAATTCAATGTCAAACTTCTTTTTTTCATGCATGTAAAAGTTGTGCCTCAGCAATTCTACCACATATATTGTGCTAGCTTAGCTGTTCAGCCCTGTCACTAGCAGGGGAATTAATGACGGCTGTGTTATCGAAGCAGTCAAAACCTTCGACGGTTAAGCTTAGCCAAGCAATGCCTGGATTTTCTGATTAAAAGTCCAGGACCATGACTGTATTCACAGACACTTTTCAGCAGTTTTTGATAATGATGGATGGAACAACGGTGGAGATTATGAGGAGGGAGGTTAAAGATTGGGACCCGGTTGTTAATGGTCAGGCTGGGGGATGTTTGAGGGTGATAACTCACTTGTTCAGGATGCTATTTGAGAGACGTTCGGCTTCTGATGGGTCCTTTTTTTTTAGCTGCTGGTAGCTAGAGAAAGTTTCCACCATGCCTATAAACCCACTGACCGAAAGGGTCCGTCTTACTTGGCAGGACTCATTCCTACAAAGACATTCATAGTTACTTTGTATTTAAACTTAATATGACAGGCTACTAATGCATATTAAATCAATAAGGACTCACCATTCCTTGTCCAGGTAAGAGCAAGAGTTAAACATGTCAAAGTAGAGCTTCTTGGAGCTTGGTCCTAAATAAAAACTTCTGTAGGGCAGCAAGGCAGCGTAGAACTAGAAACAGAGTTTGACAGATTTCTTAACACAACCTATGAATGAAATTATTGCATGAAATTATAAGGTTTCATTTGAACCACTTTGCATGCTTTTACAAATGCATGGATGCTTAAGTCCAAAGATTTGTAACGGACCTCCTGGCAGATGTCATTAAGGGCGTCCGAAACATCTCCATATTCAAGGTTCATGTCCATGGTGTAGCTCAGGAGTGCAAGGCAGCCTCCAGGCCTGAGCACCCTGTCGGCCTCCTGGAGGAACCGCGGTCGATCGAACCAGTGGGCCGACGTCATGGCCGTCACAAGGTCCACCTCGCCAGCTGTAAATGGTAACTCCTCTGCAGGGGACTGTCTGCGGTGGGAAACAGAAGAGTGGAGTGTGTTGTAGTCATTTATCAATACCCCAAGACTGCTTAAAATATCCATCAATATTAGATAAACTTACTGCAGTTAAACCACTGAGATATACTCAGTATATTGAGATATACAATACTTTAATTTTACTATATGTTTTATTTAAATATGTCTGTTATCTTTTCATTTATCAATCTACAGATTATTTTGCACCACTCTTTTGAAATTGAAAAACAAAATTATAAACCAGATGATACTTTTACTCTTCTTAAGCTCCATATTACTTTATGTCATTGCATTTAGTGACACTAGATGGTGCATATGAATAGGAGGCCATAAACAGCCCTACCAGAGCTGCAGAGATTTTATGCTAGGTGTGAATGATCTGATCATTGAACTGTTGATAGCAGCAATCATTATTAGCAGGAATAGAGGTCAGATAAATACTTTTTTTTGTGCTTAGGACCCCTTTGAAGCTCGGGCCAGCCCTGATCTTATGTCCATAACTGAGGCAGAAGCTTTTATTAGAGTCATAAATTTCACAGTTTTATTCATTGGAGGTTTTTTTTTTTCTCGTGGAGTCAGAATATCACCAAATTTAACACCAAAGAAATACCCTTTGGGTTCATTACATATATTGTCTGGATTAAGAAGAAAGCATGTTCATTTTAACAGTAGGCCTACACAAGGACACCATTCAACCCTTAACCACAGATTTAGGCCTGTTTCAATGTGTATTCTATATATTACCCCATTTACTCTACCCTTGAAAAACTGTGCCGAGACCGGTCCGAGCTCGGTAACTGAGATAATTTATCGTGTGTAAATGGAAAGCAAACTGAACTGAACCGAGCTAGACACAACCGAACCGAGCTAACTGCAGACCAGTTCCAGAGGTGGGTTCGGCTCGGTTTTTCCCTGGCTCGGTTCTCTGATAACAAAAGCGCATGAGCAGAACGCCTCATCTCCGTCTGGCTGCACATCCCGATTCACACTCCATTCGAGTAGTTGGCGCTAATGCCCCTCTGGAAGTTGCTTGCCAACCAACACAAAACAGAAGAAGAAGAACAACTATAAACAACAATCGAATTCTTCTCCACGCAACATTTTAAATAATGGCTTCAAAAGAGTGTGGTGCGACCTGGGATGACCATTTTAATTTGCTTGATTCCCTCCTTCTTCGTCTTCTTCTTCTTGTGTTTCATGGCGGTTGGCAAACAACTTTTGGTGTATTACCGCCACCAACTGCTTGATTTCCTCCTTTAATACTGGCAGTAATACCGCAGATCGTCACTAGGAGGCGAGGAGTCGAGGAACCGAGATAGCGTGATGTGTAAACAGTCGTCAGAACCAAGCTCGGCCTGGTTGACTGATGTGAACTCGGACCGATCTCGGCATGGATCGGTTTTTCAAGGGTAGTGTAAATATGTATAATGTGAGGTACAATAATACTAGCGTTTAAAACAAAATGGACAGGATTTAAGTATTTACAGATACTGAAGAATCTACAATTTGAAACCCCAAATATACAGTTACTAACAAGTAAGAAAGTTCTGATTTGTGATTTAGTTCCAATGTTTTTGTCAACTGCACATCATGTCATGCCTAACCATATTGGTATGACTACTGGTTTGTGAAAATCCAAAACAAGAGCCCCTGCTATTTGTTATCAGTTATGCCTAAAAGGTTTGATCGGTTTAGTAAGCTTCACTCAGTGTTTAGTTGAGGTACTGCCTTACAAATGTCATTCTTTTCAAAATGCCAGCACCTGTTTTATATATGTGTTGCTGATGTGTCAGTCCCATGCAAATCTATTCAACCTTAATAATGACTGGTTTGATTTTTTATTTACTAACACCAAAACTGGACTATCTCTTCTTGGGCTTCTACTTGGTTCTTCATGTTAAAGGTTTTGAAAGCAGCACTTATCTAAGTGACATATTCTAGAATGTTGTTTGTGTTCACCTGTAAGAAGTGTTTGGTGGATTGCTTTTGGCCAATGCCCTGTCTATCATTGCCTGGCTGACGTCTGTCCCGACCACCTTGTTGAAGTATGGTGCCAAGAGGACAGTCACTTGCCCTGGACCGCAGCCAACATCGACAGCAAGTTCGGACCTCTTTGGTTTCTGAATGGAAGAGAATAGAGTTTTCCAAAATCAAACAATTCAATCCAACTTGGTCTTATTCTAAAAATTAATTATGATGGTTATGAAATTGAAAATGATTTGCAGAGTCAAGAAATCACTTAAACAAAAGTTATCTGATAACATGGAATTGGTTAAATATATTTCAGAACGCTGCTGATGCCAAAAGACACACCAATTCATTTCAATTTCCCAAGAAATATCTTGATGATGCCTTAATGAACAGAGCTGCATGCTCAAAAGAAAATCCACCAAGACAAATGGTTTGAAATACCTCCTGCCTGTCACTAGAGGGAGCTCAAGTTCCCAGAGTACTTAGTCTAAAGGGCTGGTTATACTCCCGCAGCAGTGTGTCGCAATTAGCTTGTCGCAGGTATAACGCAGATATTTTTGATTTATGCCCAATTTTGAAGCGTGGTCTGCGCTATGTTATTCAATGGCACAATGCAAGAGGGACTATCACGAACTAGCTAGGATTGTGGGTGTCGGTGTGTCAGTTTGACTAGCTTGTTCGCCAGTGTTGGGAAAGTTCTCTTTCTACGTGAACTAGTTCAAAGTTCAGTTCACACATTTTAAAATGAACTAGTTCAGTTCATAGTTCACAATTCCAAAAAATGAACTACCGTAGTTCATAGTTCTTTTTTTTTTTTTTTGATATATTGCTCAATTACACCATAGCCTACTGTAGAACCACAGACAGCAATTATTTTATCAGTTGTAACTCTGAAACTGTGCGTCAGATTTCATCTTCATATCCAGTTTTGAATCCTTATCCAACCAGGGTTTACATTAGCATTGAGAGGACAGCATTTCCCCATTGTTGCTTTAACGCTTTGTTGCTGTCCATTCACTTCACACTAGTAGCAGCTGCAGCTTTCACCCCTACAGTATATTCTCAAAAACATCAGGAAAAATTTGCTGCTTGAATGGTCTTTTCTATGAGTAATTATTAAAAGAAAAATAGGAAAGTAGTATTTAAGGTGCAAATGTTTTTTTTTTTTATTTCAATAATTTTTTCCATTTGAAATTCCATTTCAATACATACTAAAAAGGAATACTGGAATCCTGGAAAATTATACCAGGCAGGTTTAACAAACAAGTTACATGGATAGTAAAACCCTCAAGAACAGGGGTCTGCTATGTTTTCCAGACCAAGGACCCCCAAACTGATGGCGAGATGGAGCGGGGACCCCCTATTTATATATATTGTATGAAATTGTGTCCTATAGTCACTCTATTACAGATGGAGTAATGTAAAGAAATTAATTTCTCCTTGGGATTATTAAAGTTTTTCTGATTCTGATTCCTGGTTGATGGGACAGGTGTTGTGAAGGAAACGGTGCCCAGCTTGAAAGAGCTCCTGTGTGTCGCTGAATGTGTGCATTGATGACTGAAAGACATCTTCTGTCTCCATTTATCTGTTTACTACAGTGTGTTGATTTCATGTTAATGAGTATTTAGGTATTTACATTTCAATTAGTGGGGGGAAAAAAATGCAGGGGGGAATATAAAAATATCAACTAACCATGCAGACCCTCATGCAGTACCTCCGTAGACCCCCTAGGGGTCGCGGATCCCCCGTTGAAGACCGCTCAAGAAGATTTTACTAACACAAACTGAGGGACCAGGCTGAGGTAGGAATTTAAGGTTACTGAAGTGCGGATTTTTTTACTGAAAGCCGGCGGGCAAACTTGTTGCCATCATCCTCACCGACCACCTGGTCATAAAACTGTTTTAAGTCGCCTCCATGCTGCTGTGGCTTCCACGCTGCATTTTGTTTTGATGACGCACGCGGCTGTAGGCTACGACACTGGTAGCTGCTGTTGCCAGATTGGGTGTTTTCCCGCTACATACACTATATTGCCAAAAGTATTTGCTCACCCATCCAAATTATTGGAATCAGGTGTTCCAATCACTTCCATGGCCACAGGTGTATAAATTCAAGCACCTAGGCATGCAGACTGTTTTTACAAACATTTGTGAAAGAATGGGTCGCTCTCAGGAGCTCAGTGAATTCCAGCGTGGAACTGTGATAGGATGCCACCTGTGCAACAAATCCAGTCGTGAAATTTCCTCGCTCCTAAATATTCCACAGTCAACTGTCAGCTGTATTATAAGAAAATGGAAGTGTTTGGGAACGACAGCAACTCAGCCACGAAGTGGTAGGCCACGTAAACTGACGGAGCGGGGTCAGCGGATGCTGACGCGCATAGTGCGAAGAGGTCGCCAACTTTCTGCAGAGTCAATCACTACAGACCTCCAAACTTCATGTGGCCTTCAGATTAGCTCAAGAACAGTGCGCAGAGAGCTTCATGGAATGGGTTTCCATGGTCGAGCAGCTGCATCCAAGCCATACATCACCAAGTGCAATGCAAAGCGTCGGATGCGGTGGTGTAAAGCACGCCGCCACTGGACTCTAGAGCAGTGGAGACGCGTTCTCTGGAGTGACGAATCGCGCTTCTCCATCTGGCAATCTGATGGACGGGTCTGGGTTTGGCGGTTGCCAGGAGAACGGTACTTGTCTGACTGCATTGTGCCAAGTGTAAAGTTTGGTGGAGGGGGGATTATGGTGTGGGGTTGTTTTTCAGGAGCTGGGCTTGGCCCCTTAGTTCCAGTGAAAGGAACTCTGAATGCTTCAGCATACCAAGACATTTTGGACAATTCCATGCTCCCAACTTTGTGGGAACAGTTTGGAGCTGGCCCCTTCCTCTTCCAACATGACTGTGCACCAGTGCACAAAGCAAGGTCCATAAAGACATGGATGACAGAGTCTGGTGTGGATGAACTTGACTGGCCTGCACAGAGTCCTGACCTCAACCCGATAGAACACCTTTGGGATGAATTAGAGCGGAGACTGAGAGCCAGGCCTTCTCGTCCAACATCAGTGTGCGACCTCACAAATGCGCTTCTGGAAGAATGGTCAAAAATTCCCATAAACACACTCCTAAACCTTGTGGACAGCCTTCCCAGAAGAGTTGAAGCTGTTCTAGCTGCAAAGGGTGGACCGACGTCATATTGAACCCTATGGATTAGGAACGGGATGTCACTTAAGCTCATATGTGAGTCAAGGCAGGTGAGCAAATACTTTTGGCAATATAGTGTATTAAGGCCTATTTACGGTGTGATTTAGCCGGGGTTTCGCCTGGAGGGCTTTATAGAAATCTGGCAACCTATTGAACGGAGTTGAACTGAGAGAGCGTGTCGTTCACAGACACCAGAATGAACGAGTTCACAATAACGTTCATCAGGCAATAATGCAGTACGTTCAGTTCACGTTCGCCCAAAATATGAACGAGTTCATGAACTTTCGTTCAATGAACGCGTTCAGGCACAACACTGTTGTTCGCCATCTACAACCCTTCATCCCACGCCGGATGCCCCACATCCAGCATATCTGGCATCTTGGCATATCTGCGTTAACTGTGAAACACGCAGACAACCTAGTTTCTGAGCATAAACCAGGCTTAAGTAAGCACATGGAACTACAAAACAGTGTAACATAGACAAAAATGACAAAATACATGAACAGCATTAGTATAGTTTCCAATAAAATAGGAGAATTTGAACGTAAAGATAAAACAAGGTGCCTGTGTTCAAAGTTCCCATCCTCTAAATCTCTAAGATCTAAAAAAAGGTAATACAAACTTACCCTTTTCTCCATGTAGCTCATTATTACACTGACCATTTCATGTGGGGCCACTCTGTACTGCAGGTAAGAGGATGCATGATCCTTGCCTTCAAAAAGCCGCACAGCCATCTTTTTAGTAAAAACAATGGGCACCAGAGTGGAGGGAAAAAATAAGAGTAAAAGGCATCAATCCAGACTGGAGAATAGACAAAGGAATCTGAAGTTCCTGAATTCAGAAGGAAACAAATTATCTCAAACTAAACGAGAGAGAAGCAAAAGCTTTTGCTGCATCTCCACACTGACTATCATAGTACCATGATTCAGCAGTAAAAGCTTGACTATGTTTAACCAGCAAGTTATAGATTAACAGTTTGATAGTGTTTCCTTTTGCAAGTAGCTTAAAGGTCAACAATGCGTGTAGTTGTATTGTTCCCTAAAGAAATAAACAGGCCTGTTTACGATTAAAGATAAGACCTACTGGATTAAGATGTGATGCATAATTTAGTTATTTGGGAATACAAACACAAAAGTTCAGTCCACAGACTTAAACAAGGATTTTTTTGCTGCACTTTTAATTTTTGATGTTGCCAGAGCTCCTTTTGTTTTATTCTAATCTATGTACAAAATTAGGTCTCTTGAATTTAACAAATCCTAGAGCTCCAGAAGATTGCCCTCTCCTGGCTACACTGTCCAGCTCCACTAGGGTCAGAAGGTATGGATATAAAGCCATTCCAGCTAGTGTTCTCACAGTGGATCATCGCTGAGAGAACCTCCAAAGGTAGGATCCCTACATCGATATCTAATAGGGGAAGCTAAATACAATATGCCTGCGCCAGTTCTTTGTCATTCAAATTATGGCCTGACCCAGACCACTAACCTGGGTCATGGCTTGATTCTTGCTTAGAATGAAAGTCCAGTGGCCTCCGATTGAAGCCTGTTTTGTGGTTACTTCTAAAAGCTTGTATCTTTCAGTAGAGATCCATATTTTTTAATCACAGATCAGGGTCAGATTGTCGATAAACAAGTAGCTTGAGAGATTTCTTCACTGGCTCTAATCTTACTTCACCACAACAGACCAAGGTGGCATAACTGCGGACAAGGACCCAATCCACAAATGCTTTCTGTTCCATTCTAGAATGATTCTTGACCGACACACCAAAGAGCCTCAACTCTTTCATTGAGGCAGAGATTTTAGCTTCTTAAAAATATCTCTAGATATCGACCTTCTGTTTTCTTTAAGATTATCTGCTGACATTAAGATTTGATCCACTTCATTTTGTTGTTAATGTGCTCCCTTTATTTGTTAACTGTCTGATTCAAGATTAATGCTATTTTGCATGTTTTAAATACTCAACCACAAATGACTCAACTTACTACACTATCCGTCCGGCTTGTCTCCATATATAAGTGTAGCCTTCAAATGATGCATACATCCAAGTAAGTTGAACTCTAATTTTAATGGCCAGGGGACAGTGAATAAAATCTCAGCAGTCGCCTTGTAATTAAAAGGTTGCATGTATTGTCTGGGCATGGTTGGGTTCCTTACGGCTTGCCCTGCAATTGAAAGGTGACTAGTCTATGATCTGCATTTGCATTTTCTGCATTTACAGGATACTTTCAACCCCCTATTCATTGTCTACAGGTGAAACACCTTAAGATTTTAGCCAATAATGACAAATGATGACAGGAAACGTCCAACACATACAGAACGCGCATCTTCAAGGACTTTTTCACTTTTGGCTGATTACTCGAGGGGAAGGAAGGTGTAATAGATATTTATACAGTAGGTTTTTTTTTTCAGAAAACATGTATCTAAACTACTCACAAGCATTATGAACCTATCATGCAGGCAGATTCAATACACTGAGGCCCCTAATTTAACAGGTATTCATGCTCCTTCTCTGTATTCTTGGCCCCTTCCTTATTTGTGTGTAGACCTTTTTGTGCATTCATGACATCTGCTTTCACTTTGAGGGTGGAACCAACCTGAGAAAGCAACCCACCTGTGACTGGCCATTTTTCAGGAAACCTCCTAAGACATTGGGCCGGATCTATGAAAGGTTTGCGTGTATAAAAACGTGAGCTATTTCACTGCGCACGCTAAAAAATTTACAAACTGATCTATCAACAGCGTGCTAAAAGGATTTGGTCTTTAAAACGTGCTAAATAGCGCCTCTTATCCATTTAGTACTCTTTCTGCAATGAATATGCAATATGGGGCGTTTACACGCAAAAGTGCGTCTTGTGGGAGGAAAACATGTAAATATATTCATTTAGCGCTCGCAAAGTGATTTATTAAACCTGAAAGCAATTTTGCTAACGGTATCTGACTCTATATTTAACACGTTTCAAAAGAAGGTGCAAATGGTCTGTATGCGTAATTGCGCACACATGGCAGCGGTTATTGTCGCAAGAAGGAGACATCGAAATGAAGCAAGGAGACGCAGAGAACGCATTTTTTCACTCCGTGTGAATATTTTTGGAATGAACGAGGAAACGATCATCAAAACATATCGTTTATCCAGCATTGCCATTTTGAAGCTGTTGGGGGAACTCCGAATGGATTTGGAGCCAGCCACAAGGAGGACCCGCGCAATACCCCGGATATCACAAAACTCCTTGCAACATTGCACTTTTTTGCATCTGGGATCTCCCAATCTCGTTTTTCAGAAGTGCGCGCAGTCATCTTATCCACAGTCACTTCTTGTGAGCCATTTGGTATGTGCATTTTTCTACAGGCCAATATAAAACACCTGTTTTTTTGTTTTTTTTTACTGCAGTGAAGTAGAAATTCAGCCACATACCACCTTAGGGAATAAAGGTTGCCAAAGTTTATATATATATATATCCATCCATCCATCCATTTTCTTTACACGCTTGTCCCAAGTGGGGTCGCGAGGGGTGCTGGTGCCTATCTCCAGCAGTCAATGGGCGAGAGGCGGGGTACACCCTGGACAGGTCGCCAGTCCATCGCAGGGCTATATATATATATGTAAATATATATATATTATTTTTTTTTTGGGGGGGGGGGGGGGTGTCACTGTAAGATTAAAATTTCTTAATGCACTAGTTTGCACAAACTACAAACTACTTTGCCGCAAACCACAAAACGCGCAAAACCATCATTTAAATAGGGCGTCTCCAACAGTTTTGCACCTGCCACCAGTTACGCAATCACTCTTGTTAAATCACCCGCAAACCATGGTTCAGCCCCTCGCGCAAAATTCCAGTTTGCGAGCGCAAATTACTGCACGAAAAATTGGATCTTGATAAATCCGGCCCATTGTTGTTTCTTCCTTGTTGCTGCTAGTGTCATTAGTAAGCATCTTCTAGGCAAGTGCGAGTCTCTATAGGAGTTAGGAATTGGTTCAATTAAGTCATCCCTATATAAGCTAGGTACATCCAACTATTGTAACATGCTCTAAAATGAGGATTGAAAGTTGAACATGGAACTTGAGCTAAGCTAATGTTAGCTTCATTGTTTATATTGAGGAAAATGAGGCTTGAGTGAAATATGGTTTATAATCGAACACAGATATTTGCACTTGTAATCCGTTTGCAGCTACTGCTAAGCATGTTTTCTTTTGTTTTAGACAAAGACGCAGATTCACGTGGGAGAGAATCTATGCATTAAAATCAAAAAAAGCATGCGCCAATGTGGGTGACATATTAGAGGCCTCATGGTATTGAATCTATATGCATAAAATGTTAATAATGTGCATTTTTGAGAGTAGTTCACATGCTTGAGTTTTATTTTATTTTTATTTATTTATTTTTTTATAACAGTGTCCTGTCTGGCAATGTGGCAATAAGAATAATTGTCTTGATGCCAAAAGGAGCCCAACAGATTTTACTTTCACAAGTGGAGCGGTTTGGCAATTTCCATACTGCTCCACTTGTTTCATGCATATAAATTGCTTTATTATAATTATGCAGGGAGTTTTACAGTTTATATGGACACTGCAATGTAAGTAGAGCAGAAAAACAGAAGAAGAAAAAGGGAAAAAAAGAAAAAAAAGGAGAAAAGATGAAAGAAAGAGGAGATAGAAAGGAGACAATGACAAAACATTTTCAGTCTGCTTCATCACCTGTAACGAGATGAAAAAAGAGCCGCACAACCAAAAGACATGGTACGAGATACAGTATACAATAAAGCAACACCTTGAAACTATCGCTAAAGTAATATTATTAAGTCTGACATGTACTCTGTGTTACCTGAAGATATGAATGTGGGGTTTCTGTTTGGAAGTGAATCTCTAAGTACCTGAAGCCTAGCACCTGTAGTTGTTTGTGAGGGTGAACTTGTGCATGTAAAGTTTTAACCATAGAAAAAATGCTCAATAGTGGTTGTGGAGAACATGCTTGAGTTTTAAATAAAACGGCTCACATGAGTATTTATCATGTGTATGTCCTTATGGCAGAATTTTGACCTCTTAGAGCTAAACTAGCAATGCAACAGATATTGTCTGGGAGATTTCATTTAAAAAATTAAACTGCTCACATGCAAAGATTTCTTATTTATCGTACCGCAAAGCATTCCTACAAGTTTATATTCAGCTTCTGCATTTTTTTATGATCTGAATTTATATTCAAGGTTCAGTAACCATCAGTCTGACTGTGTATGATTTCAATTTGATACAAACCAGCTCTGTTAGGACGAATTGGTAACAAGGCTAAAATATCCTTAAAACAGTACCTCCTGTAAAACCACTGTTCAGCTATATTATAGTTTTTATTTTTTTTATTTTATTTTTTTTTATTGACTGTGCAATATGCTGAATGTGCAATATATGTGAAGAGGATAGTCATACCACTACCTCACTGTTGTTCCTTACCTACCACACTATAACGTTATAGTAAATCCACCTGTATATAAGCCATCCGGATTGTACATATGTCACCTCGAACCTCTGTGCTACTACCTTGTATTTTTTATTTCTTATTTTGTTTTTCATTATGTGCGATACATGTACACTTGCACCTTAATCCTTATTTATCTTGATATACTGTATATATATTGTTTGTTCTTCTTAATGCACCTTTTTCCTCCTTGTTTGCACCTTCTTTTATTACTATGCCAATATGTGACGAGTGAATTTCTCCGCTGTGAGATGAATAAAGCTTATCTAATCTAATCTACCTCCATGCAAAGACCAGTTACCTTCAACCCAAAGATGATTCAAATGATCATCTCATTTGTTGATTTCAGTAGTTTTGAAGAAAAGGAAAAGTATGCACTTGCTTTTAGGATCCAGCAGATGGCATTAAATGCAAACCTAAATATATTCCGAGAAGCATGACAGAACAGGGACTCAGAATCCATTACATC